ATCCAGAGACATATGGCCAGTCCGAAAGGACAATCCAGACACTAGAGGGTATGCTCAGAGCTTGTATTCTGGATAGGGGTGCCAAGTGGGAGAAATGGTTGCCATTAGTAGAGTTTGCCTACAACAACAGCTACCATGCCTCGATTCAGATGGCTCCTTAGGAAGCACTTTATGGCCTCAAGTGTTCGCCCTTTTATTGGGACGATGTTTGAGAGAGGCGAGTACTTGGTCCGAAGTTGATCAAGGAAATAGTTGAGCAAGTAGCCTGGATTCGAGAAAGGCTCAAGACTGCTCAGAGTCGGAAAAAGTCTTCAGCTGATAAGCATAGACGAGAAATGCATTTTGAGGTAGGAGATAATGTCTTCCTGAAAGTCCGACCAATGCGAGGTGTCGTTTGTTTCGGGAAGAAAGGTAAGTTGCATCCTAGTTATGTAGGTCCGTTCGAAGTTCTTGAGCGAGTAGGAGAAGTATCCTATCGATTAGCTTTACCTCCCGAGTTATCCAGTGTGCATAATGTATTTCACGTATCGATGTTACGCGCATACGTGTGCGATGCAGATCATGTGCTTCAGCACAATGAGATTCAGATTCAGACAGATTTAACTTACGAGGAGCAGCCTATATCAGTTTTTGTAACACCCCACTTTTCCATAAATATCAGAGTGCGTTTTTCGCAAAACTTATCTTAATAGAACAGATTTATTTGCGAAATCCTTATCGGGATGCTACTAAAAACCATACATTGGTTTGAAAATCCGTTGCTTTATTTAAATTTAACTTTGAGGAAAAAACGGATTATTTTAAATCAACTAGCATGTAATACTTTATGAAAGACTGACCGATAAATCGGATTCACACATGAAAACTGACATGCCAGTTGAAAAGTCGTAAAATGACAGCGGAAGTTGAACGTGGTATAACATAACAGTACAATAATGTACAATGGCTGGTAGCCATATCCGTGACCACGATCCACCAACCAGCTCACTCCCTTGAACCGACCTGTAACTTGAAAAACATAAACATCGTGGGGCGTGAGCACTAAAGCCACTGTGCTCCGCAAGAACTCATACTAAAGTAACCAGTGAAAATAATTGCAACATCATGATCCTGGCATATACATAACTGAACTGAAACCGGTACTGAATAAGCATGAACTGATAATCATCAACTGACTGATATCTCATCTGCCAGCATAAAAATGTCGGACACTATGTGCACACTCTAGTGGGCAGATTAAGCCACTAGAACCCAGAATGGACCGGCGACCATTCCAAGCGGATACTGACTGATAATACATACCTCAAACATGGTAGAGTAATTATAATCAATGTAATACTCAGTCTGAGTCCCCACCTGAACTGCTGATATGAATCGTAAGTGCTGAGAGCCTCGAACTGTTCAAACCCTTTTGATTGCTCGTTAATTGGTGCTAGACCTCGCGCTCCCGCTCACGACCGCTTGTAAACGTGCGTGCTTTCCCTTAGCTAATAACTATCTATCTTGGTTGAACTCTCTTAACTCTCGGATGTGGTTCGGTTATTGTATGACAATTCCTTACGTTAATTTCCATAATTTCCATATAAATACTAGCATAAGGACTTGGGTAAAAAAATTGGCTAAATGGCATGATGCCACTTGCCTTAAGCTCACGTTTTTGGTGCAAACTCTTTGCTTAGTCATCCCTCATGCTCAATACTTTGACGCCAAATCACCACATAAATTGATGAGTTGTGATATGCAAGTTGCATGATATTTTCTTATTTTATAGCAACCTTACGTCATTAACTAAAACTAAGACATGGATTAATTAAACTTAATCATGACACTTGCTTAGGCATAAACGAGTAGTGAATGGTGGCCCTTGGTGCGCATAATCTAAGCGATTAGGAAATAATCCTCGTCAATCACTACAATTAGGCTACAATTGACCAATTAATAACTAATGGCATGATAATGATACTTAGACATATAAGCCATATACTTAGAACATGATTAGGGTTAAACTTGACCAAATTTATATGATTTAGGTCGAACCTTGACTTCGAAAATAAATTCGAATATTACCTCGACTTGACCTTATTAATCCCAAACTCAATTATTATATAAACGAATTGGAATTAAATTTGAAAACTTATTTGGTTACTGAATTAATTTAACCCGAATATTAAATCGACTAAAAGTCGAGCTTTAACTGAAATTCAATAACTAGCTTGAAACTCAACTTTGACGATTAATCGAATATTCTTAATTCAATTAATATGTCAACATTAAAATAATTAACCCTAATTCGCTGACGTCCATTTATTAAATAAACAGACGGAGATTAATTACTATTATAAACTCGATTAATAAATAAAATTAACCAGATATATTTTCGACTTAACGTCGAATTTAGAAATTAACTTAGTTGAATAACTTTGACTTGAACATTGAAGTAAATATTTATTAACAAAGTCTAGCTTAAATTTAAAAGCTATTATTTTCCTTTATTAATAAAATTCGGGGCGCTACAGTTTTGGACCGAAAGGTTCATAGGCTCAGGAAGCGAGATATTCCCCTCGTTCGTGTCAGTTGGAATCGCCACGGAGAATCAGATGCCACCTGGAAGCGAGAAGCTGATATTAGGGCTCGTTTTCCAGATTTTGAGTTTTGATATGTACTCAGTTAGTATGTATTCCAGTTTAAGTATTTCCGAGGACGGAAATAATTTTAAGGAGGGTAGATTGTAATATCCCAATCAGTTATTAAGTTATAAGTTATAATTTTGACTTTAAGTTGAAAGTATTCTCGGTTAAATTTTATTTAGTAATCGAGCCAGTTCATTAATTGGTTCCGGTTCGTTTATTTTTAGAAATGGATTTTATTAGTAGGGATTAATTATTTTGAGTAGTCTGATAAGTTTTATGATTAATTTTACATGAGTGTCTAAATTAATCATTTGATAAAATAATTTATTTAGACATTTTAGTCTATTTAAATTATTAGAGAGAAATATGAAGATATTTTTAAATTTTCGAGTTTTTCGGTTATCGATTGTAGTCGGAATTTAAGTCCGATTTCACTTCTCAAAAATAAATTAAATTACTTTCTCTCTATATTTTTAGTAGACTACAAAATAAGAAAAGTTTTTTTTGAATTAAAAGGAAAAATGCCAAAATTAAAAGAAGAAAATCCGAAATTGTTAGAATTTTCGATTTTACGGTAACTGTTTGTTTTAAGTCAGAATTCGGTTCCGTAAATTCTATAGTTTTCCATATTTCACGAATTTTTTTTATGTCAATCAGATTGAGATTACATTATGGGGCCTTTTTACGCATTTGACTATAGATTGGTTAAGTTTATAAGTTAATATTACCTTTTAATATCTTTATTTATTTTTACAAGTTTTCTTTGTTTATTTTGTTTATTTCTTCACTCAATCATCTTGTCTCCTCTTTTGTGGTTATAAACAGAGGTCTTAAATCATATTATTTTCATCAAAGAAAAGTTTCAAAAGTTATATAACTCATTAGAGAGAAATAAGTTGTGGGAATTTTGGAGAGGTGAAGAATTAATTTTCAAGTTCAAATTTTAGTTTCAAGCAAGAAGAAGAAGGTAATAAGTAGGGCTGGTACTTTTTGACCGAAAACTGAAAATCGAACCGAACCGAACCGATGTGAAAATGTTTCCGAACCGAACCGATTTTCGGTTACCGAAATGTTACCGGTTCGGTATCGATTCCGAACCCATAAGGGTTCGGTTTTACCGAACCGAACCAATAACAATAAAAAAAAATGCTGCTTTTAATAGGTATATATTAGTTAAATAAAATAATTAAGACTTACATTATAATTAAAAAGGACGGATATTAACACACAGAATCTTAGGGCTGGGCTTCAAATTTCATACGCCCCCTTCAGAATCAGCAGCATCGTTTTATTTTACTTCAGAAATTCATATCGCCTCCTTCACCTCGACCTATTCTGCCGTTCACACCTTCACGGCTTCACCGACTCACCTTCAGATCGCCTCACCTTCACCTGGGAGTTCAATCCGTCGTTCATTAGTCGTTCACCTCACCTTCACTTCAGAATTCAGATCGCCTCCTTCACCGACACACCTTCACGGCTTCAGTGACTCACCTTCGTGACTTCAGCCGGGCCCTAGGTAATTATCTTCAAACCCCATAATTATCTTCAATTTTGTTTTCAATGAAAACACAAAAATCAAAACCCCCGTTGAGTTGATTCGACCAGACAAAAGCATAATCCTAGTCTTCCTCCATCCATGGATTGTTCATTCATGAGCCTTCCTTAGTTGTTCACAACTCACTGCAAATTCATACCTTTTTTTTCTTTAGAGACAAGGGCTTGGAAAACGGGTTCCAACTGTGATGTGTGATTGAAATGGATTATTATTAGTAGTAATTAGTAATTTAGTATTAGTGGGATGTGGCTTTTTAGAGGTCATGTTTATGAATTAAAATTTATAGCTTGTTTATGAATTAATATTTATAGCTTGGTCTCTGCTGAGGTTGAATTGAACCACTCTGAACTGAGTTATTAGGGTCTGATTGCATTCTGGATATGGGAACCAGCTTTAGAAGTTAGAACCTCATGTTTTACATAAAAATTCACATCTTTGTATGTTAAGCTGTAAGCATGAACTTGAATTATTAATTCATACATAATTATTAATTCATTTTTGTAGTTCTATTGTCATGTTCATGTATGTGTTTATTACTTTATTATGGATGTTCTCGGTTTTAATTTAATATATATACTTGATGTTGTATTAGGAATGGAAAGTCAGAGTGTGAGTTCGAGTAATCCGGCTCTAAGCACCAATGCCAATGTTGATAATCAAACTCAAGAAATCTCGAGAAACACTTCACAAAAAAAAATCCAAAAAAGAGGAAGGAGAGGGGCATCGCTTGGGATCATTGTACAAGGAAAATTATTCACGATGATGAAGGAAATGAGGAGATGGTTGCTATTTGCAAGCATTGTCAATTACAAATGCCGGCCGACTCAAAAAGGAATGGAACGAGAGGCCTTCTCAATCATTTGTATCATAGGTGTGAGAGTTCTTCTCTTCGTGTGGTGATGGACAAGAGCCAACCCACATTGACTCAGTCGATGATGGAAGGTGAAGTAAAAATTTCCGACTTCAACCAAAAAAGACTCGACAAGATGTGTGTGAAGTGGATTATCAAGGCGGAGATGCCTTTTCGAACCGTAGAGCAACCGGACTTCAAAGAATTTATTCTTGATCTTCAACCTCGTTATAAGATTCCTAACCGGAGAAAGATTGCAAAGGATGTGTGGAGTTTATTTTGCGAAGAGAAAGCAAAGATCAAAAGTATCATTGGTGATCTCCGGGTGAGTATCACAACCGATACTTAGACCTCTATCCAAAATATCAATTACATGGTGGTGACAGCCCATTTTATTGAATCGGATTTCCACTTGCACAAAAGGGTGCTCAATTTTTGTAAAATTACTTCTCATAAGGGTGAAGACATAGGAAGGTGTCTCGAAGAGAAGTTGGTCGAATGGGGCATAAGTAAGGTGTTTGCCATTACCGTGGACAATGCGAGTTCGAATGATGTGGCCGTGGAGTATTTAAAGAAGCAACTCCGGAAACATGATGGCCTTATGCTTGATGAAAACTTGCATATGAGGTGTGCATGTCACATAATTAACTTGATTGTGAAGGATGGGATGAAAGAGTTGGTAGACTCCATTGAAGCCATCCGTAATTGTGTCATGTATATTCACTCTTCAAGTGCGAGGTTGGATAAGTTTTGGGAGTATGCGGTTTTAGAGAAGAAAGATAAAATGTCGACTATCCCGATGGATGTTGTGACTCGGTGGAATGCCACATACATCATGCTTCATAGTGCTAACAAGTTTAAAGGAGTATTTGCAAGGTTGGAGGAAGAATTTAAGGGCATGATTGTTTATAAAATATTTCATTCAAAATATTTCATTTTGGTTAACTATGGTTAAAGTTGAAAAAGTAGTGTGGTTAATTATTAGTGGGATTTAAAAAATATATTAAAATAATATTTAAAATAAAATAATTAAAATTGATTTGATATAAAGTAGGAGATAAATGATTGAAAATGATTGGTAGTTAAAATTATGTGAGTGGATGAATAGTGAATTAAAGTTGATGTGATGTGTAAGAATTATTAGTTTGTATTATTTAATTATATAAATAATATTAAAGATAGTGGGATTGAGTTAAAGTTGAGTTAGATTTTGAGTTGAAATTTTTTGAGGTGAAATATTTTGTAAACAATCAACCCCTAAGCCTTTTAAGACATACTTTAAAGAGGGAAGAGTGGGGCCTCTGAATGATGAAGATTGGGAAAAGGCTATGGGATTTGCACATTTCCTCAAGAAGTTCTATGATGCCACCGTCAAGCTTAGTGCCACCAAAACTCCAACCTCGCATCTTGTTCTAAAAATCTTGATAAACTTGAAGATTGAGATTGAGGCTAGAATTAAAGATAAGAAAAATATTGTGTTGCAAAATGTGGCTACTTCTATGAAGAGGAAGTTTGATAAATATTGGGGCTCTTTCGAAGATATGAACATGTTAATGTTTGTAGCCCAAACCCTTGATCCACGATATAAATTCCAATTGATGGAGTTGAAATTAGGGGAACTTGGCTACACTTTTGATGAAATTGAGCACCTTAAGAGTGGTGAAAGCACACTTGTATCTTATGTATGAAACTTGTAAAGGAACGGAAAAGTCACATGTGGATGTGCATGAGGATGGTGATGATGGTGTTGATCTTGGTGGTGGCGGTGGTGATGATGATGATGATGAAGATGATGATGATGATGATGTGGAATTGAGGATAGAGCGGAGACTTAATAGGCAAAGAAAGGAAGCAAAACTCAAAGAGATAGCTAATGAAGTTGACAAGTACTTTAATGATGCATATGAAAGTACAAGGAATGATGATTTCGACTTATTGGCGTGGTGTAAAAGTAAAATCTCAAGCTACTCTATTCTTTCCAAGGTTGCTAAGGATGTACTTGCTTTTCCTAGTTCGACCGTTGCTAGTGAAAATGCCTTTAGCCTTGGAGGAAGGATTGTGGATCCGTTTAGAGCTTCTTTGACATCTAAGATGGTCGAGGCCTTAGTTTGCACAAATGATTGGCTTAGAGGGGAGGAATTTCAATTTCACAAGGAGCCTACGGAAGAAGAGCTTGAGTTCTACATGGAACTCGAACAATTGGAACAAAGTAAGTAACTATTTTATTAATATTTTGATATTCATATTGTGCATGAAATAAGTTTTTTGCTTATTGACTTATTTGTAATATTTTATAGGTATTCCCAATACAAATGAAATGCCACCACCTCCATCTAAAAGTTCAAATCCACCCGAGTCCGGAATTAATAAATTACAATCCCATCCATCTAGAGGGGGAAGAGGGGGAAGGGGTCGATCAAACCGTGGTGGACGTGGCGGTGGTGCTACATCATCGAGCAAATTAAGAGATGAGGTTCTTGTAGTTTAATTTTATTATAATTGGTGTTCTTTCTTTTAAAATAATAATAATAATAATAATAATAATAATAATAATAATAATAATAATAATAATAATAATAATAATAATAATAATATTTTTTATTATCTTAGTGCATTTTTTTTTCTTATGCAGGAGTAGATGAGTAGTGGATGAATGCTTTCAGTTTGAGCTATTTTATTGGTGATAATTCGGATATGTTGTGAGTTGTGACTTGATCTGTTATTGGAATTCACACTGTGTTGTGATTTGAATTTTGGATATGGTTTGTTGTGTTGTGAATTGGATTTAGAAGTTGGAAGTTTGGAACTATTGTTGAGCTTGTTACCTTATGAACTTATGATCTGCCTACTTTATTTTATGTCTCTGCTGTTCAAGTGCTCACTTTATCTTCTGCTAACTTTCTTTGCCTGTGACTTGTTTTAGACTTTTAGTTTGTGAAAAAATGATTAATGTGCAGTGATTCAGTTTTGATGATGGACCAACCTTTTATTGGAATTATACTACATGTTTATAATCAGTAATCAGTAGAAGGCTCTGCTTATGTTCATTTTGCACAAGTCTTTTTGTATGCTGCTGCTGTTTTTTTTTTCGGTTTTTTCGGTTTTTATCGGTTTATACCGAAACCGAACCGTTTTATCGGTAACCGATTTTTTGGTTACCGAATGTTTATCGGTTCGGTTTCGGTTTGCAAAGTAGTGAAACCGATAATGTTCGGTTCGGTATCGGTTTCATGTTATCGGTTCGGTTACCGAACCGATACCAACCCTAGTAATAATAATAAGTCATTCTTTTAGCATGCTTTATAGATAATTTAAAGTACCTTAATATGTGTTAAAATGTGCTAAAGTTCCAGCCTGTAAGTATTTATAATCATGCCATGAAGTAAGGAGTTATGTTAGATCGTATGCATGATTGTTATATGTTGTTTGATTTCGAATTAAGAATGCTATGTATAACCTGGTATAATTAAATTTTTATGAATATTTCTTGTGTAAATGATGAGTACATAGGAGCAAGAATCATGTCTTTTGGTTAAGTATAACTCGAGTTATAGATTTTTAAAGTTTATCATGCAAGCTGAATTTTATGTGCTTGTTTCCAGCAGTGACTTTGAACGGGAATAAGTTGAGATATATGCATGATAAAATTATGAAATTTGTATGACATGTCTACGTATGTGTTGAGATCATGCTTGCCAAATTTCATGATTTTAGGTTGAGAAATGAATGAGTTAAAATATTTATATCCCATATATGTCAAGATGATTTTATATGCAAGAGTACTCAGTCCAAGTTTGAGTTTTTAACATGAAACCTTTATGTAATATTCTCACACGAGGGATGAACAATTTCACCAAGTTTCATCTTAATACGTTGATTATACAATTTTATAAAATTGTTGAAGTTTTGCATGTAAATAGCATATTTTCATGTTATGATTAACACTTGAGTTAAATATGCTTTAAATTTGAATTTTTAGTACCAAGCATGTTTAAGCCGAGTTTGATGGCTATAAATCCTTATAAACCATGTGTATGATGTTAGTAAAAGTTGAGCATGTTTTGAGTTCATGTACTCGGTCATCTATTATGTGAAATTTAGCTTATTTTCACTTCCGAGTCATTTTAAGTTACATGATAGTATAAGTCAATATCTAAGATTCAGAAATCATGATTTATATGGGTTAAGTTTGTCCTTCAGTAAAAGTTCAAGTTAAGTTGTTCAATGAATTAATGTTCATTTGAGCTATAGCCGGAATCTTTTTAAGATTTGGATAAGTTATCAGTTGATGTTAAAACATCTTATTAAGTATATGAGCATAGTACTTAGTATATTTGTGTATATTTTTATGTAGCTTGAGGAGTTAGCTACCCAAGAGAAACACTTACAATATTCAAATATTTTCGAAGAAGAAAGGTGGGGACCCAGCCTGGGTATTACATTGAGTATAATAGCTATTATCATGTCAAAGGTATGTATATGAGTTATCTGCTTCGGGTGGAGGCCAGTTGCCTTAATATGCCATCCCGAGTTATGGTGGAGGCAGTATAGCCTTAATATGCCATCAGAGTGTGCACACGGTTACGGACATAGTGTCCGAGAGATTCAGTTCAGTTACCGACCTAGTGTCGGGAGATTACAGTTTACTTATATATACATGCGATCATGATATTGATATTATTATTAATGTTTACTTTAGTATGAGTTTTCACGGAGTACAGTGGATTAGTACTCACTCCCCACTATTATCATATTCAAGTAACAGGGTCGGAGCGACGGTGTGAGCTCAGCTATTGTGGTGTCGGTTGTGAATTTGGTTGTGAGTTTGTTTGAATTTCCATTATGAAATTTAATAAGGCTTTGGTTTATTTATGCCACGCTTGTAAGAATTCTGCTATGTATTTAAGATTTGAACATGTGTGATTTTAAAGTTGAAATTTAATAATTTACCGGTTCACCAGTATGACCGGGTTTAGTTTTTTCATACTTGTTCAATATTTAAAATCTGTTTTATATCTAACATTATTGTTAGACTGAGTTTTAAGGAAACATATTTTAAAGTAGATAAGTTTTAGTAACATCCTGAGTTAAGAAGATGTCGAAAAATAAATTTGTAAGTATCTTTCGAAATAAGTTAAAGAAAAATTTACTCTGATAAGCGGGGTGTTACAGCTAGTCGGGACACTAGGCTGTCTTTTGACCTGTCCTCCCACTTTTTCAGCAGTTGGCTGCTGTGTATTCGCACATTTGTGCATTTTGATTTATAATATAATCTGTCGTTTTGGAAAATAAAAAATATAATAAGTCGTATAATTATATTTTTTTTATTCGTCGTCAATCGAATTAGTCCAAAATCCTTTAGTTCCTCGCGTCGTTAAATCGAGCTTTGTATTAGATACTCAGCCGATATTATTGAGTAATTTTATTTCGACCGACGTTGCTAATTTATTATCGGCTCAATTTATTAGAAAAAATTCCGGTCCATTCGGATAATTGATTCCGACCGAAATTGTATGGTATCTAGCCACGTTTGTCCAATTAATTCTAGTCTTGGTGAATTTTTATTTCAGCCGAAATGGAGAAATATTGGCCCAATATTCTCTTAATATCTCGGCCCAAGAGAAGATTTAATCACGGCCTTTCTCTTTCTTCTTGGCGCAGAACGAGTCTTCTCTTCCCCGCTGTTGTCTTTTCTGTTGCAATTTTATGTGAACTAATCTTATCTCTTCTCGTTTTTAAAATTGACCGAAAATTTCAGAGGAGCAAACCTGCTATGTTCTCTCTATCTCTCAAAACCGCAGCCTGCTTTCATTTAAAAAAAATAAAAAAAAAAAAAGAGAAATTGGGTACCTGCAAATTCCAGCGAGACCATCTTCGACCGGCGACCTCCTACAAGAGCAGCCACCGACCAGCAGCCGTACACACCTCAACCACGAGAACCTCCGCTGTTGTTCAGTAACCGTCTGAGACCCACCGTCGACATGTGCGTGTTCAATCATCGGAGCATCCCACAACAATCCCGTTCATCGTTGTCTGTTCGTCAAGCTTCAGCCATCGACATTCTCGGAGGTTGTCCGTCCCGCGAGATCAGCGTCGTTCTCTGTTCGCGAGTCGACCTTGTTCAGTCCCCGTGTTCGAAGGATTCCAGATTTTCGAGTCCAAGTTCCGTCGACTCCGTCGTCCGACCCATTTTCAGACGGCTTTTCCTGGAAGGCGGGTACACTTCTTGAACATCCTTGATATATTATTCGTACTCGTGATTAATCGTTGGATTATTTTCATGCTCATTAAATCGTCATTCGTTAAATGATCGATTTATGTATCGGACCGTATATGTTTTGTGTATTCGTTGGGCGTCTTGGGGATTTACGTGGACTTCTCGGAACTCTCGTTTATTGCAAATATCGAACCCCTTACATTGCTGTGTTTATTCGATTGGTTTCAGATTCACGTTTTATTTTTATATTTTTTTCCCCAAGCCTTGCCGTCGTTGTTGTGTTATTTGTTCGTTTTCGAAACCCGTATTGTCGTTTCGTTTTTCCGTGCAAACCCGGTTGCGATAAATATAGTTTCGACCTATGGCTACTTGGTTTATAATTTGATAGTTTCGTTAGATGTATCAAATCCCGTCGTGCTCGAAAATTTTCAATTGAAACCTATCCTTGGAGTTCTCTGTTGAGTGTGCTGTTCGTCCAAAACATAATCTTCAGGTTTCGTTATATGTTAATTTTTGTCCTTTAAGTTATAGACTAAGAGGTCTGGCGTAGTGGTGTTCTATACATTGTTCTGTCCCTGACGTCATGGGTTCGAACCTTGCCCTTGCATATTTCTTTTTGAATTCTCCAAAGCTGTAGCAGGCGCGGGCTTTCAGGCCCGCATTGCGGCCCGTGCACGGCCCAATCTCACATGCACCAGTCAGGGCCCGCGAGCCCGTTACAGCAGCGTGAGTCCGCCTCTCCAATCTTGGTGCCAGGCCCTATTTGCGCAGCCCAACGGGTGTAGGAGGCCCAATTTATACATTATTTTGGGCCCTGTGATCACACATCACGGCCCAGTTCGGCTTTAATACGAGTGTAATGAATTTCACTCGACTCCTTCAACTCGAACGGCCTCCGTACCTGCAGAACCCAACGCCGGGGGTGGCCCCGGCGTCGGGCCTCCGATGCCTAAGTCAGTGCTCAGATCAAGAGAGGGAATGTGTAGTAAATGAATGAATAGAGAATGACAGAATGAGGTACCTTAGCCCCTCCCCCCCTCCCTTTATAGGGGGAGTGTACCTTTGTGGGCTCAAGTTGGGCTTGGCCCATATCGTGATGCTTAGTACATACGTGGGCTTATCTTTCAATATATATTCGTTTTCTCCATTAAACCGGGTGTAGTATAATATCATATATCATCTAGTCCCCCCCACTCTGGTCGAGTAAGCATAACTCGATCCAAGAGTGAAATGCCTCTGCTAGCTGTTTTCTCCAACTTGCCACTAAGATC